AAAATAGCTAACAAAACTGACCATACTGTGGATACTTAGTAGAAGGCAGTTGCTATTGTTATTGCCACCGTCACCTTTATCATCACTGTTACCACCATCACCTTTATAATCACTGTCTCATTCATCATTACCATCAGAATCATAGTGTCACCGTCATCACTGTCACTTTAATCACCATTATCTTCACCGGCATCCTCCCTACCACCCTTAGCATCAATACCACGATCACCTTCATTGTCATCGTCTAGCATGGAGAGTCCAGTTGGAACACTTAGAAGACTCAGGCCCAGGCTCAGATTCAGAGTGGAAGACACACGTCATCATGGGTGCTACCTGGGCTCCTGCCTTGTCAAGAAGGCCTCTTTTACCTTTGGCCTCCTCCAACTGATAGAAAGATCTTTCTAGTAGGAAGAGATCTGTCTTAGTGCTTACCCTGGGAACAAGCAGAGCCTTACAGTATCATAGAATTATCCTATACTTAATTATATTACTAAGAATAAAATATTCTGGCTCCACTGGGAGAAAAGTTGTCTGGTAGATAATTATGTCGTCTATACCTGTCGCCAAATCATCTTATGACTTTAGCTTGAAATGCTATAAATATCCTAGTAGGTGACTAACGATCTGACAGCACAGTGGAGGAGGTGCTAGCCTAAGAGCAGCAGGGCGGGTAGATCATTCCAGCTCTGTGATTCACCAGCTGTGGGATCCTGGACAAGTTCCTTCTCTGTGTCTCAGTTACCTTATCTGAAAAATGGGGATGACAATGTTTGCCTCCTAGAGGCATTCTGAAGACTTAAAATGTACAGCCCAGCTTCTGGGACATATGTGCAGTTGGTTAAATGTTACTTGCTTTGGCAGTCCAAAGGAATAGAAAAGATGAAGTGCACACTACCCATATATGCCGGGGAGACCACAAATGCCATCAGGCCGAATTCTGGGGAGGGCAGCTCTTGGTTCATAAATCCTGCCATCTTCTGGTCAGGTATTGTTCATAGCAGGTATCCTTCATACAGTGGTGTGGAAGCAGTCTGAGGCCTACTCTGGAAGTCCATTTAGAACTGGCATTGTCGGTGTGCAATTGTTGGGATTTTGACAATATCCTATAGTATGTGATAGAGGAAAGAGATTAGGAGAAAACAGCTGCTGACTCACTGGCAGGCAGGCCAGGACTGCTCATTCTTCCCCTTTGATGCCTGGGCCAGCATGCCAGCAGCACCCTCTCCACCCTGTTCCTCATCCTGCTTAGTCAGGTGGGTGGTCAGGGGTGCCAGCCTGGTCCAAGAACAGTGTAGGGTCCTCAGCCATGGTCAGTTTGCTGGCATCTACTGAGACAACAGTGTGTTCCCTTAGAAGACATAAAGACTTAAAATAGTTGGGGCTGGTTTCCTTACTCCCAGTTTTAAGGTTGGAAAGGTGGGTGAAAAACATTCTAGCTGGAACCATAAGTCTCAGAGCTCGAAGTGACCTGTCTTTATGAATCTGGAGAACTTGAGGCCAGAGAGGCGAGGGCATTTGCCCAAGTTAGTGAGTTAGTTGGTGACAGGGCAAGGCAAAACCTGGCCTGGCGCTGCTTCTTTTGTCTGTCTGTTCTTCCCAACTCGGCACTCTCCTTAGCAGGTGCAGCTGTTTCTCCAAGTTGGGTAGATTCGGCTTTCATTTCCTGCTGGTTCTATCCTGTCTCCTCACCCTCGTCCTGAGCCTCCCAGTGACTTGCTAGTTGTGGCAAGCACTTTCTCTTGATCTCTCGCACAGTCCTTAAAGGGCTGGTACTGAGCTTTTTCTTTCCAGCATAGCTTCCCAGGATGGCTGATCCCCGGTCAGGCCTCTCAGAGACAAGAGGAACCCTGAGCAGGCAGGACAAGTGAGCTGGCTCTGAGTTCTGGTGGAGAGACTTCCAGCTGTAAGACGTTGGGCCAGTTATTTCATCTACCTGAGCCTGTTTGCTCATCGGCAAAGCAAAGAAGAGCACCTCTTAGGGCCTGTCGTGTGTACAGGCCTGGCCCATTGTGAGGGCACAGTCAAGGGCTCTGCTATTACTGCTTTGGTGAGTTCTTGTTTCAGAAGCCTCAAGGTAATTATTGATGAGGTCTCATGGTAGTCCTATAAAGTAGGCTGGGCAAAGATCATCGTTACCATGTTACCGATAGGAAGGAGGAAGGAGATGTGTGAAGAGTAATTTATGGCAGCTGGGGGCAGAACCAAGCTAGGACATAGCAGTCAAAATTCATCCTCTCTTGGGAACCAGCAGTTAGCGTAATGGCTATGTCGCTGGACTCCCACGTAGTCAACCGCAGTTCGTGTCCTGGACCCAGTGGCTTAAAACTCACGCCAGGCGCGTGTGCGTGCATGCCCAAGATCCCAAGAGGAGAATGGAGGAGAAGGGATTGCGCGTGGCCATCCCCCCTGGGGGGTGATTTCTTGCTTTCTGTCTCTATGTCTTTCTCTGTCTGTCTGGCGAGCGCATGTGCCCTATAGCAAAAACCTCTCAAAAAAAAAAAAAAATTCATCTTCTCTTCAAGCCCCTAGCCTTTCCCCTCCATGAGGCATGGACCTTATGAGTCCCCACACCTTGGTATGGAGGTGGCCATTGCCCTTTTCTCCCTCACCATCACAGAGATTTCCTGCCCTGGTTTGGCCCTTTGCCATACCCTGGTCCGTGGCCTCTAGCTCAGGGTTTTCTGACAGACATTTCCCGAGCCGTGGAGCCTCAATATGTCTTCATTTCCTCCCAGGAGGTTGGGTATCCTCAGAGATCTCAGAGAGGGGGCTTTCTTGAAGAGGAAGAGTGTGCCATTTTGCCTCACAAAGGCAAGCAGGTTTTCAATATCTGAGGGAGAACTGATAACGCAGAAGTCTATGGGTGCTGGCAGTGAAGCCTCAACCTGTTACAGGGCATGCTCCAAAGTGCATTTCCTGTTGACAGTCTCCTTACCCACATCCACTTCCTTTCCCATCCTCATCTCCACACTGGTCTCCTTGCTAGTTGGTAGCCAACTTGGCTATTAACATGCTCTGTGTTTGCCTCTTGACCATCCTAGGCTTTGTGGAGAACATTGGCCCTGGGACCAATGCCATCACTTGAGTGCTAATAATCCTACTGTGTGTCTCATGAAGCCAAAGACAGATTGCTGGACTTATCTCAGGCAGCCATTTTTGGTCTGTCCTTCACACTTTCAGCATTGTGCTGGGGGCAGCCCCAAAGAAGACACAAACCCTCTTCCATCCCTGCTGTGGAGTGACCTGGAAAGACACAGACCTACCTTCCCCTCCACTGCTTTCTAACCATGCATTGGGCATGTAACCTTCCTCTAAGCCTCAGCTTCCACATTGATAGTGACATTCATTTTTCCTCTCATAGTTATGAGGATATAATCATGCTCATATTAAGATCCAGCCACAGTGGGTCCTCAACACGATCTCCTTCATCGTCTTCTCTTGCCTACCCTTCTGAACAGAGCTTCCGGTTCATTTGGAGCCTCTGGATGTTGGAGCCTTAACATTCAGCTTAAGACCCTGGAATACCTAATCATTTGAGGGTCTAGGAGCAGGAGAAATAACTGAGATCTAGGATATGGTGAAGGTTTCTTGGAGGTAGGAAGATTTGCAGTGGTTTTCTGCTAGCCATTCATTCAGTTTACTTAGGTTCAATTCCCTGATTATGAAATGGAGATCATAATAAAATTGAGTCCCCCAGGGAAGTGATACAAGTTAAATGAGGTGATGTTTCAAATGTGCCTGGCAGAGCTCCTGGGACAGGCTAAGTGCTCTGCACTGTTGGCCTTGCTATCCTCTCTGCTCTCTTCCCACTGGTGGATGCTGCTCACCCCCTTACTTCTTCCCTGACTGTAAGCATCTTAGGCAGAAGCTGGCCTCCTTCTGCTCTGGGCTTTCTGAGTATGGCCAGGGCCAGCCAAAGAAGGTAGGTTTCAAAACCTAGGTCCTTCTAGGAAGTTGATCTGTTGTGATCCCTGGGGCTGATTCTCAGGGCACCTCAGATCCCATGGATGGGGCCTCACTGCAGACTTGGAAGAACAGTGTCCACATGTCCAGACTGACTCGGCTTGCCCAGAGGCACTTCTGCTATAGCAGGGAAGAGATGCCAGCAGTTTCCCAGATTGCCTGGGCATTCATGGCTGCTTCTAGCCTTTCCATAAAGTCTTCAGATGAATCACCCCAGTATTGCAGGTTCATGATTCACATAAGAAGGGAAGTCAGAGTTCACATGAAGGGGATGGGTAGAGGCCAGGTCTCCCAGAAGCAGGAGAATACCAGGGATAGAGCAGTTGAGAGCAGCCATTGTTCCCTGGGCTGAGGATAGGGACACCGGATGTGCATAGACCATAAACCACTGTGTCCAATGCAAACCTTGTCTTAGGTCTTCAGCCTATGGCTTAACATTCCAAAGCCCCAGGGCTGAGAGCAGAAGACCAAGGAGGAAATGAAGGTGCTGCCATGACAATGAGAGAGTCCGAGTTCAGGCAGACAGATGGTCATGAAACAGTTCCATTTGTCCTAGTTTTTTTGTTTGTTTGTTTGGTTTTTTTTTGCTTTAAAAGTTCAGTTACCTTAGAATTTATTTAAACTAAGAAAAAAGTCATGTTTTCATGCAGTACATATTTGGTTCTTTAAATAACAGTTATCACAGTTATCAATAGCAGAAAGAATTAAGGAATGCTGTTGGGTTGTACATAATTAAATATCTCAAACACCTTTCAAAATACTGTAGTAGCCAATACATAGAGGCATGCTTTTGGTGGGCATGGCAATGCAGTTTAGAAAAGAAAACCATGCTGCAACTATTCAATTTCTTTAAAACCACTGAGCAAGAGAAGCAGCATTGAACTTGCATACTGGTTTTACAGAACTTCTATACATTACTTGACTTAAATCCAAAAGCAAAAAGGTAAGATTCTCCTCTATTTTTGGTAAACAAACTGCATGGTAAACTTAGATGACTTTGCCCCTGGGTTTTACCTGGGAGTGACCTTTTAAATTTTTTATGTAAAAGAGGGCAAGTTTTCCCCTTTTATACTGATGTTACCAATGTTACTGTTTCTTGGGATCTCAAGAAGAGTCCTATTCTTTTTTTTTTTTTGGAGAGGTTTTTGCTATAAGGTGCGTGCACTTGCCAGACAGACAGACAGGGACAGGGAGAC